GTGGGAGATGAGCTCGGCGGCTTGGACTATTAATAAATGATATTGCCATCACTGTCTTTGCTTATGGACAACATAGATCGCTATTAACTCAGACCACATACAAAACAGATATCCCAGGAGGACTCAGTGTCTAAATTTGAAAAATAAAAAATGTAAAATTACAGAAGAAGATATGAAGAGAACTTTCTGAAACAAGACGCAATTAGCCAATATCAATATTTAAACTCTCTCCATGATCAACGACTCTATAAAAATGTTAATTTTTAACCAATATCAAAAGTTTAGGACTTAAATGTAAAGAACTACAAGTGAAAAAGAAAAAAATGCAGTGGAAAATGGGTAAAGGATATGAAGTCATCTCATGGATGAGAAACACACAGTTGCTAGTAAACGTATACATAAGTGTTCACTTTTCCTTGTATATCTAAATTGCATATGAAATCAAGATACCAAAACTTAAAATCATGAGGGAAGTTGGCAAAAATTTAAAGTATGATTGTATCAAGTTTTTGCACAAATATGGGCATTACACATTGTTGGAGGAGGTTTAAATTTGCAGAGCTACTTGGGAGAGCAATTTGACAATATCCAGTAAAATTGAAAACATGCAGGCCCAGCTACTCTGCAATATCATTTCTAGGCGTACAGTTTAGAAGAACGTTCCAACAAATGCATACAAACTCATGGACAAAGATGTTAATTGTAGCATTGTTTCTAATAGCAAACTATTTGAAATAGCCTACATGTCCTTTAATAGAGAAATGGACAAATGAAATGTGGTATTTTCACAAGATGGAATACTGCTTGTTATTAAAAGGACGGAAATAGATCTGTGTATGTCAATATGAACAGATACTCAGAACTACAGTGATAAGTGAACAAACAAGTTGAATAGAACTTTGAGTGTGATATTCATGCAAATTAAGCACACACAAAACAATGCATACATATATGGATACATATATATGCATGTGAACATAAAAAGATTAGGAGGGAGGTTGTTTCAGAAAAGAAAGTGAGGCAGACAAGCTCAATAGTCCTGGAACTGGTTGAAAAGTCACTTCTGCCTTTTTTTTTTTTTTGAGGTGGAGTCTTGCTGTGTTGCCCAGGCTGGAGTGCAGTGGCACAATCTCGGCTCATTGCAAGCTCCGCCTCCCAGGTTCACACTATTCTCCTGCCTCAGCCTCCCAAGTAGCTGGGACTACAGGTGCCGCCACCACGCCCGGCTAGTTTTTTGTATTTTTAGCCGAGACGGGGTTTCACTGTGTTAGCCAAGATGGTCTCGATCTCCTGACCTCGTGATCCGCCCACCTCGGCCTCCCAAAGTGCTGGGATTCCAGGCGTGAGCCACCGCGCCCGGCCCGCTTCTGCTTTATGTGTGATTAGTTCTCTACCCTCATCTCTTTTTCTCCCTCTTTCCTTCTTACTTCCTCTCTCTCTTTCTTTTTCTTCTTCTTCCTCCTCCTTTAATAGATACTATATCCATATTACTTCTGTAATTCAAAATGTGTTTACATAAAAATATTTCATGCAAATTAGAGAAAATGTAAATAAGGTCATCCCTTGGTATCCATGGAGGATTAGTTCCAGGATCCCCCAACATACCAAAATCCTCAGATGCTCCAGTCCCCGATATAAAACTTGGCAGTGTTTGCATATAACCTACACATGTCCTCCCCTCTACTTTAAATAATCTCTAGATTACTTATAATACCAAATACAATCTAAATGCTGTGTAACTAGTTCTTAAACTGTATTGTTCAGGGAATAATGACAGGGAAAAAAGTGTACGTATTTAGTGCAGATGCAACCATCGTAGTTCTAACTACATTTTTGATCCTGGGTTAATTAAATCTGTAAAGATTTGGGAACCCGTGGATAGGGATGGCCCATTGTAATTGTTAATTCTGGATGTTGAGAATATGGGTATTTGTTATATTAGTCTTTGTACTTTTTAGTATTTTAAACTTTCCTAAAAATAAGTAATATACACTCGTAAACATTCAGAAAGTTAAAAATATACATAAAGAATCCTTTGAGAAAATGGGACGGTATCTTGGAATTTCATTGACCTGCAGTCCCCATTCCTGAATTTCCATTCTGCTCACTGCCATCCTCTAAATTAGCATGGACAGCTGTCCTGAGGTGAGTGCGATTGTTCCTCTGGGTGACTGTGTGTCATCCAAAGTGCATGGCTCACTATCATCTGCCATAACCTGCTCTGCCCAAGGGCGACAACAGCACCTGGAGGATTAATCCACGGTGCCTCCAACAGATGTCACACACCCAGATGTCCATGTGATTCGGCTGGTTTCTGTCAAATCCCTACCACATGCCGGGCCCCAGCTGGAAACAGCAGTCCAGAGATAAGTGAGACTTGGTCCCTGCCCTCAATAAGCTCACTGTCTGGGACAGCGTTTCTTGGACTGGAGTAATGAAGCAACTCCTTTGAAAAGGGGAAAAAAACTTCAGTCCCCTGGTGTTGTTTTAAAAATGTTCTATTTATGCAAAAACACAACTAGGAGTCAACCTTTTTCGGTGTGTAGTTCTACATGTTTACAAAACTAGAGAGTTTTTCTAATGAAGTATGCACCAAACCCAAACCCACTGCCGTTGGAGGTTACGATGATGCTTTGTTGACCCGGCTGTGTCCCGGTGCTGGTGGCCAGGCCAGGCCTGGTGGAGCCAGCCTCGTACACTGCCCTGTCTCTGGAGACTCACTTCTCCCACCGGAGTCCTCCACGTGAACTTCTGTGAAGCTTTCATTCACGCTGTGCTTTGTGGGGCCATCTGACCTTTTGCTTGGCTCAACTTCACTCTTCGTGTATCAAGTCGCCTCTATTCTTTTCTCCTAGGCTTCACCCATTAAAGCAGAGTTCTGCGGCACCAACACCCCCATAAGCACAGAAGCAAACACAGGCACTAAGACGGAGGCTTGTTAGGAGGTGAACTAGGTGGTGCAAAATAGGCATAGAGCGGCGTTTCCTCTAAGACAATTATCACGAGGAAAACAGTCAACTTTTAACTTTCCAAGGAAGAGCTGCAGATTTGACAATACATCCTGGGATCTGAGTTTGAGAAACACCAATCTAGTGACTCTGTCTCACATTCTCTGAGTCGATTTCCATTTCCAACACTCTGCTTCCTTGTCCGTTTGCTTGCTATGTGACACGTCTCAGAGGGTTTCGAGAACTGTGGTCCATACCTGGGTTCTGAGCACCCATCTCGAGTCACCTGTGCGGTCCCTTGGCCTGTGTTCTTCCCTTCATGTGAGTGCTTCTATCCACGTGGGGCTACTGAAATTCCCTCCTTCTTCAGGAGGACCATTTCGGATTTGACTTCTTCCATGAAGTCCTCTTAACCGTCCTTGTTCTTCTCTATCCTGGTAATGGCCTTGAATGGCTTCTTGGGGTCCATCCATCTTAGTCGCTGTGTTAACCTCCCCCCCAGGGACTCGCTTGGAATCCCCTGCACCCCACTGTGCCTGGCAGAGTGTTCTGAACTCACCGGTTGCTCTGCACATCTTTGGAGTTAAGTTGGATTTGGGAGACTGTCCTGTGTCATGGATCCACCATGGAGCTGGTGAATGCTGTTGTGGGACACGTGTTGGGGTGCTGCCATCATGTCCCTAGGTGGAGCTGCAGAAGGCTTTGCAAGACTGATGTGGTGATGAACACCCAGGACAATTCTTGAATGGAGGTAGATTCTGGCACAAGCTGTGTGCGTGCATGTGTGTGTGTGTGCGTGCATGTGTGTGAGAATATGTGGGAGTGTTTGTGACTGTGTGTGTGTTTAACCACATCCTGGAGGTCAGTGTCCCTGTAAGGCAAAGTGAGAATAACAGTGAGATTTCTTTCCCACAGGGAGGTGCCCACACCCAGTTACCCTCAGACTCCTTTTCTATCCCAGTTACCCTCAGACTCCTTTTCTATCCTGTCTCCTTCTTCCTAAGGGTCAGCAGAGAATAAAAGGGGTGGTAGAAGCTCTCCAGAATCTCCTCTTCCTGGCAGCGTCATTTACAATGAATTGTGTGAAATGATTTACTTGCTGAACTATTTTAGGACACCGTCTTTTGATGTAGGATGCCCTAATCTCACCCTCAGGGCGTTAAGTGCTTCTCACTCTCAATTGGTGCGATTATATCTCATGCCATTCACTATCCTCCAGGGTTTTATTTTATTTTATTTTTGTACTGGTATAAAGAAATCAATGATTCAAGGCAATTGCTTTGATCCTAACGAGCTGCAGGTTTGTGGTGGAAAACCTTAGCTGTGCAGTTCTCTGCAGGCTCCGCCCCTCCCAGCGTGGATGCAGCCCTTCCTGGGCCACCATGGCCACTGCGCTGTTGTGTGCAGCAGTATTGCAGCTCCCCTGTGAACACAGAGCCTTCTGCGGGCTGCGGTGGAATTCCCATAGGCGACCCCTTTGTGTGAGAAGGTTGCTGTGGCCTCAGCTAAGTGGACTGCTAAGTGGACACTCGAGCTCATCTGCACCTCCTTGAAAGGGCTGGGCAGATGGATTTGCTCCAAGCCTTTGAGAGCCAGTCCCACGGAGGGCTTCCTACAACACCACTCACACCGGTGGGGAGGAAGGAAGTTGAGGGTCACTTGGGATCTGTATAAATTAACATTTATGTCATATTAATGAGGTGCTAATTGCTCTTGCAATCTTTTTAATGCAAATTAATCCAGTCCTGTTTGCACTGTCTTGTTCCCAGCCTAATACCTTCTAGCTTCTCTATTGTTGTCAAAGTAATTATCATTGCTTCCATGAACAAGGAACATGTTTTGCATCTGCTCCTATGACACACTGGTGTCTTTCAGAGTGGCAAGATTGTGTCAAGATTGTTAGGGTCATTTAAAAAATTACAGTCTCTCCCAAAGATAGGGATGTTTGCAAGGGACTCGGCAGTTCACATCATGTGGAGTGTGCGTGGTGCTGTTAGCCCGCGGGAAGCTGTGAACGCACTAATTCCACCATAGATTCTCTTCCTCGTTCAGTTTCCTGTCACCTCTCTGTGCTGACTAAATGATGAGCCGTGCCCATGCCACATGGGGCCAAACTGGAGCCTGAGGCAAGAGGAAGCACATGCACCCCCATGAGTACTTGCCAGAATGTCCTCTGTATTCTGAACAAAGCAGAAAACGTGAACAGAACCTCTGGAATCAAAACCCATGACTAGATATGAAGCCCAGTGTTGTTCTATCCGCACCTGATACGGTTTGGATGGTTGTCCCTGCTCAAATCTCACGTTGAAAGGTAATCTCCAGTGTTGGAGGTGGGTCTGGTGGGAGGTGCTTGGGTCATGGGGGAGGATCCCTCAGGGCTTGGGGCTGTCCTCCTGATAGTGAGTGAGTTCTCATGAGATCTGGTTGTTTATGTATGTGGCACTTCCACCCTAGCCCTTGCTCCTGCTTTTCCCATGTAAGGGGCCTGCTCCCCCTTCTTCTTCTGCCACAAGTGAATGCTCCCTGAGGCCTCCCTGCAGCTGAGCAGAGGCCAGCACCATGCTTGTACAGCCTGTAGAACCAGGAGCCAATCAAACCTCTTTTCTTTATAAATTAACCAGTCCTGGGTATTTCATTACAGTGATGCAAAAACAGCCTAACACAGCATGCCACTGTGAACCCTCATGAAGTAGTCCCATGGGGACAGGGAGGCCATGGCGCCCAGGAACCACAGCTGATTGGAAACAGACAAGCAAACAAACACCTTGGCTTTATTTAAAATGTTGATACTTTGTTCATCATGAATTTTTTGCTTTAATTTTTATTTTTAAAAATATTGTGTTAACCATCCCCTCTTTTGGTTCCCCCTCCCCACTATGAGTTCAAAAATACTACTGGATAGAAAGAGTAAGATTTGGTGTTCAGTAGCACAATGGGGAGAATATAGTAACCAATAATTTATGGTATATTTCAAAAACTCAAAAATAACTCAGATATTGTATATTTCAAAAATATATTTCAATAAAAACTAGAAAGAAACTAAAATTCCAATTTCAAAAATTGGAACGTTCCTAACACAAAGAAATAAGTGCTTGAGGGATGGATACCACAAATGCCCTGATTAGATCATCACACATAGTATGCTTCTATTAATAGTAAAATACCACACATTCCATAAATATGTACAACTATTATGTATCCATAATAGTTAAGAAAACAAATGTTGCATGAGAATATTATTTATCTTGATGATGGAGATTTTTGGCTCTCCTTAAATTGTGTCTTGGTTGGTTTACCCTCATCCTGGGTATCCCTGAGCCATTTAATGGGTGACTGTGGATTTCACAGCCAGGACGCTAGCCTTGGTGTAGACAGTACTGTTAAAGGAGCTTGGGAGTCTGGGTTTGACCTGGATTTTCCACCTTCCTATGCATTTGAGAAAAGTTCTAGCATTTTCATTATCTTCAACATTAAGGGACATTACTAGTTAGCTGGTGGTAAGGTGTTTATAGGAGTATATCTTCTTAGATATAGGTGGGGTATTATATAGAACACAAATAATTCTTCAGATAAAACTTGAGGAATTTGCACCCAAGCACTGTTCAGGATGGATTGTGGACTTTGGATTCAGAAAATCTGTGGAGTTTATGTGGCTCTTCCACGTTTTAGGTGCATGATCTTAGATAAATTTTTCAAAATCTTTGAGTCTCAGTTTTCTTATCAGTAAATGAAAATAATGGCTATTTATAGGGTGGTTATAAGGATTCAATAAAACAATCTGTGTAAAGTATCTGGCATGCATTAGGCCCTCTATAAATGTTTCATATCCCACTTCTTCGGAAAAGAAAGCTTTGTTTTTCAGAAATAAATTCTCAAGTTAGTGCCCTAGCCAATGGTCCTTTGGTCTTTTATTTGTTCGGTCACACGATCAGTGGATTCCAGTTGCTGAAGGTCACTGTTTCCCCAAGCTGAGAAGCCAGGGATACCAGCATGGTCTCTTGCTACCGTGGGAACTCAGGCCCAGGAGAAATCTCACTCAGTTATTCCTGGAAGGACCGAGGGGCTCCCATATGGATGCGTGGCAGTTCCTCCTCTCTTCCTATGTGGCATCCTCTTTGCCCCCCGCTTTCCTAGTCAAGCTTCTTCGGGAGACCCATGTACACCATGAAGGTACTTTCAGGGCTTCACCTACGTCTTTGTGGGGCTGTCCCAGAGCCCCGGGACCACCTCCCACTGCTGCACAGGGAGGGCCCCAGCCATGAGGTAGGACAGTGTACCATGACGTGGCACCCAGAGGCACGAGGCGGCACCATGTGCCATGACGTGGCACCCAGAGGCACCATGAGGCGGCACCGTGAGGCACCATGCTGCACAGGGAGAGCCCCAGCCATGAGGTGGCACCGATGTGAAGCCGTCCACCGTGTGTCCAAGCCACCCCGTGCTCTTTGCAGATGGCGGGCGCTGCTTTCTCAGTTTGGGACTGGGCATGAAAGCGATGTTGCTGACTCCAAGCTCATCCCTTCTTGCCGTGTTCCCCTTGGGGCAGGCTGACTGTTCCAACCTCCATTTCCAACCCCCTTTGCCTTGGCTGCCTCCCAGCTGGGGGTGGCCCTGTGCATACAGCTGGTCAAAGAGACGTAAGAAAGCACAGTTTGCTTAGAGTTCCTGAAAACTTCTACTACAGGGTTTGTTTCCTCTCTTCTGATGAGAGAGAGGCAGATGTGATAGGTGGAGCAGTTCCTACTACTGGAGACCTTGAGGGAGAGGCCAAGATGGTCTCAGAGACCTCAGCATTGGGCCACTAAACCGAAAAATAAGTCCCTTATTTGTTTAAGCCACTGTGGTTAGGTTTTTCTGTCACTTTCAGCCCCAAGCCTTACTCGCGGGTCTGCCACCCCCTCCTGTGGTCCTGGGGACCCTCAGGAACTGCGGAGGGTGACGATGTGCCAAGGCCACTCTGTACTGGGGTTGCCCATTCCCCTGTGAACTCACTGCACTGTGACTTGAAGAATCTTGTGTTCCTGGCCTTCCATAACCTTAGGAGGAGTCTCCCAGGAGGCTTTCTGTTTCTGGTGCAGATGGAGTTCCAGAGAGTCCCTCCACGGTTCAGCCAGACCTGCCCAGACATCTCAATCAGGATTGCAAGTTTTGCCTGGGCTCCCATGGGGCCTCCTGCTTCTGGAAATGTGTCATGAAGCTCTTGACTGAGAAAGGGGATGGTTTTTGCAGAGTAAATACCTGAAAAGGAAAGCAAGGTGGGCTTCTCCGACGCCGTCATTAAGATGCTAAAATATGGCCATTTTTCTAAGAATTTAAAAAAAATTTACCCCATCCCTTTAGGGTATGTGATGGAATGACATAATGACGTGTGATAATTTGTGTAAAATTGAGGGAAAGGGCATTGCAGAGATGACAGAAGTACACGAGCTGTGATTTTCAAGGGAGGTACCTTCCAAATGAATTAGGCACAGTGGAGAATATTCACATCTTCTCTGCTTTCCCATGAGGCCAAGGTGCTGCTATGCAGGTGTGAGTCCAAGTCCTAAGACTGCTCTTTCTGTAATCCCCCCTTCTTTGACTCCCTGGCACTGCCTGGTCCTGGGGTCCCTCTGGACCCTCTGTTCCTCCTTCTAGCAGGGTCCTGCTCATCAACAGTCATGGACAACTGACCTGATCACTAAAACCCACAACAGCAGGAATTATAGCTGGTATATATTCAGCTTCCCAAAGATCCTGTAAGTTTTAACTCCAAGGAGTGAATAGAATTTCAGGGCCCAGAATAGACTTGGTTTGGGATGGGGAGGCTGACGGGCACTGGTGATTGGTGGAAGAATGACATTTTTCATCAGAAGGTAAAATGCATAACCCTCTTCCAAAATCCTGGTTATATATAAGGGTGGCATATGTTTATCTAGAATAGCTTCTGAAGAATCTGCTTTTTAAAAAGCTTCAGACAAAAACAGTCATCTGTAGGTTGTGGCAACTGTGGGTATGCTAATTTTATAATGAGCCAGAAATTGATTGATGGGAGGCCAAACAATGATGGGGTAGAAAGAAGACATTTGGCTCCGAGACAGGAGCTGGCCACCCTCCTGTGAGTGACCTGGGTGGCTAAGGGTATGGGAAGCAGGCAACACAAACACAGTTGTCAGGGGGTGCTCCAGCCATCAAGGGCTGGAGTGAGGCTCAGCAGGGCAGGAGGTTGCCCTCTGGCTGCACCTTCTAGGGTCAGACTTGACGGAGGGATTCTTGGATTAGGTGATGGAGAAATAGGAGCCTCCTGAGTGGAGGCAGCAGCCCCAATAATTCTGGCACAAGAGGCGCCCTGCTTTGCCCTCCAGAGAGCTCCAAGGGGAACACTCACTGATCTGGGAGAAGAGACCAAACAAGAAGAAGAATCCCATGCTTGGATTTCCCAGTTTCATTTGTATCCCTGTAGTTTGCCTACTGTGAGTCATGTGTTACTGAAATGCTACATGAAGGATCAGTGCTGGCATCCTGGGCAGTGGGGTCTTTTCACTTTGGTGTTTCCAGGGGAAGCCTGGGTGCCTATGATGGCCACTCAGTAGTGTTTGCTGATTGACTGGAAAAACACCTTGGTGAGCCGAAGTGAGACAGAGCTGGAGTCTAAGAGAGGAGGAGCTCTTGTTCCTCCACGGTGGTGCTGGAGGGACTGGCCTCTGGTTTGGGTACTATCCTGCTGCAGGAGTCTCTTCTGTCCCAGGGTATATTCAATCCTCCTGTAACAAACTGGTGAGAGACACGCATTTCACTTTCCGAGCTGGGCTTTTGCCTCTGTGGCTCCACGCCAACAGACAATTACAGCAGTGCAAGAGGGATGATTTGGGAACACTTTTCTCAGGGTTTGTTATGAGTTGGTCTTAGATGGGAACGTTTGGGCACCATGCCAAGTGTTTTGTTTGTTTTTTGAGACAGAGTCTCACTCTGTTGCCCAGGCTGGAGGGCAGTAGTGCCATCTCCACTCACTGGAACCTCGGCCTCCTGGGTTCAAGTGATTCTCCTGCCTCAGCCTCCTGAGTAGCTGGGATTACAGGTGCCCACCACCATGCCTGGCTAATTTTTGTGTTTTTAGTAGAGACGGGTTTCCTCATGTTGGTCAGGCTGGTCTGGAACGCCTGACCTCAGATGATTTGCCCACCTCAGCCTCCCAAAGAGCTGAGATTACAGGTGTGAGCCACCACGCCTGGCCTAAGTATGGTTTTGAATACACTTGAATTTTTACTTTATCTACTTTTTAAAATGGAACCCACTTGGCCGGGTGTGGTAGCTCACGCCTGTAATCCCAGCACTTTGAGAGGCCTAGGCAGGCGAATCACAAGGTCAGAAGTTCGAGACCAGCCTGGCCAACATAATGAAACCCTGTCTCTACTAAAAATACAAAAATTAGCTGGGTGTGGTGGTGCACACCTGTAGTCCCAGCTACTTGGGAGACTGAGGCAGAAGAATCTCTTGAATGCGGCAGGTGGAGGTTGCAGTGAGCTGAGATCACGTCACTGCACTCCAGCCTGGGCAATAGAGTGAAACTCCATCTCAAAATATATATTAAAAAGGATCCCACTTGTAGAGCTCATTTGCAAGCTTAAATTATCCCCCTCCCCTAACACACACACTGTCCAGCGTCTATCACAGCACTGACGGCCTTTGCTTACTTCAATGCCCTTGTTTCAGTGCTGCCTCCCCTCTGCTAAGGCAAGAACATCTTTTTGCCACCTGGCACATAGTCAACACTCATAAGCATTTTGCTGAAAATGCCTTTAATGCTCAAGATGCCTTTAGAGTATATC